CAGGCAGATCTCTGTGCGTTCGAGGCCAGCCTGGTCTACAAGAGCTAGTTCCAGGACAGCCTTCAAAGCCACAGAGAAACCCTGTCTCGAAAAAAAAAAAAAAAAAAAAAAAAAAAAAGTCTAAGTGGGGCACAAGGAGTGGGGGATCAACTAAAACTAATGATGTTTGAAAGATCCTTAAGGAAATCTGATGTTTGATAAGTTGATCAAGAAATCTTAAACAAAAGGTTTAGACAGAGGTACCATGACTTCTTCCAGAAGTCATAGGATATTAAATGAAAATCCAAGTGCTGGGAATAGCTGGGTGTTGGTGGTGTACGCCTTCAGTCCCAGCACTCGGGAGGCAGAGGCAGGTGGATCTCTGTGAGTTCGAGACCAGCCTGGTCTACAAGAGCTAGTTCCAGGAAAGCCTCCAAAGCCACAGAGAAACCCTGTCTCGAAAAAACAAACAAACAAAAAAAAGTGCTGGGAATAGGATACCACCAAATAAGTTGTTGCTGAAGGAGGCCACAGATGTTTCCAAAACAGTGCAGGCAATTACCACTGCTGTTATAAGACATCACATGGCTGGGCCTTCGGACATAGAGAAACCAAACTGTATCAGGATGGAAGCCTCCTCCCTAATGGCTAGCCCACATACTACCAGAAGGTGCTGTGTGGGATTTTTTTTCTTATTTGGGGGAGGGGGGGAATTATCATTAACGGTCTGATGCAGCTGTGGATCCTGTGTGCAACCATCCAGCCAGGCAAGATGAGACTCCTGGTACAATAGTAGCATGGCTTCTATAGGGTAAGCACCATTTTCTGGCTGGATTTGATGCTCACTTCTGATGCTGTAAACCTGGTCAAAGTTTATAGCTAAGGAGGCCATGGTCCCTGGAAGAAAAGTTGCTGCTGTTGTTTTGGTAAATGGACAGGGTTGGCCTGTCAACCTGCCTTCAAAATAGCCATGCTCCTGCCCATAGATTAGAGACATCATCACCTTTGGTCCAGCAGCGGTCAGCAGTGTAGTCCAGAGACTTATATCTGGTCTCAGTACTGAGATAAGAGACTTTTAAATGTTTATCCATAAAGGGGACATTGGTGTTATCCTTCCCTACCAAGACTCAGGGAAACACTGCAGAAGAAAGAGTGGCTGTGAGAGCTGGAGGAAGGAAGGAGTGAGGTGTGGGATGCTGTCTTCTGGGTGTGATGCAGATTACACCCATTCTCACAGCAGGCATAAGTTCCTTCTCAAGAGCTGCAAAGGATTCTTGACTCCCTGTCATGGAAGCATGATCTGTCTTTTTTCTCTCTAAACATGAACGGCAGCAAGGAGAAGGAAAATCGTGTTTTTCTGATATTATGGGTTTTGTAAATATATTTTACCTTGGTAACATTCTGATATTTGAAATGTATATTTATCATTACATGGTTAACCTGGTGTGGCTATAACCTGATATACAACCTCTAATGTACTGTCTCTCTGAGTTGGACTTCTGAGTACTTTTGACATGTGGAATCGTTATTTAGACTTTTGTTTCTCTTAATTTCAATTAGCATTCACCTTCTTAGTTCATTCATATGATAGCATGTCATGGTTTCATTCCTTCTCAAAACAGCATACCATCCCACCTTGTGCCTCTTTTACACAGTGTTTATCAGTCCATTCACTGATAGACACTGGAGAAGTGTTCACAATTTTACTATTGTGAAATGTGCTTTCTGAATTTTGCTATTACTATACAGTACTGGTCTGATTATTGGTGTGAAAATACCTGCTAGAACCCTATTCTAAATTGTTTTGGAAACAAACATGGAATTAGAAATGTCAACTAAAGCATACAACATGTATAACGTTTTCTGGTACAAGGATTATTTTTGTTTATTTTTGAAATTGTAATTTAACTACAATGTTTCTTCCTTTCTTTTCCTCCCTCCAGACTCTCGGGTATACCCCTCTCCATTCTCCTTCAAGTTCATGGCCTCTTCTTTCATTAATCATTATTGTATTTGTATATGCATAAGTATTTATAAAAATAACCTATTCCACCCATATGATGTTACCTGTATGCATGTTCTCAGGGGCTGACCATCTGACACTGGACAATCAATGGTTTGCTTTTCCCTGGGGGAGGACAAACTCTTCCACTCCCAGCTTTCCTCAGTTGCCTGTAGTTCTTTGTGTAGGGTGGGACCTCTGAGTTTTTCTCCATCCACTTTGACATGTTTGTTGGTGTCATCCTTGTTCAGCTCATGAATGTGCAGTCATGTTGGTAAGACTTTATAGGTGTAACTTCTGAATTTACTGGAAGACACTGTCTCACAGCACATTCTCTGATCCTGTGGATCTCACAGTCTTCCCACCTCTTCTGCCCCAGTGTTTCCTTTGCCTTAGGTTCTGGAGTGTTTTGTACATGAATCCATTGGGATTGGGCTCTTCAAGTCTGCACTTTGTTGGTTGTGGTGTTCTGTAGTGGTCTCCATCTGTTGGCAAAGAGAAGTTTCCTTGATAAGACTACACTTATCTTTGGGTGTAAGGCAAATGTTTATAACTGTTGTTAGATTGGTTTTTTTATGTTTGTTTGTTTTGAGGCAGGATCTCCCTATATAGTTCCAGCTGTCATGCAATTCACTATGTAGACCAGGCTGGCCTTGAACTCACAGAGATCATCCTACCTCTGTCTCCCAAGTGCCAGAATTAAAATCCCAATGTATATCATTTCTAACACCACCATGCTGTATTCCATAGTGCCTCTAGCAACTTCCATTCTCACAGAAGATAGAGAACAGAGTAATGTCTCCATACATACCCTAGACAACACTGGCCTTTAGATAAGTTTCAATTTAAAAAACAGGTCATAAAATCTTTCACCTGAGATGAAATGTATGCAATGTGGTTTTAATGTGGCTTTGCATTTCCCTGGTGTTTAATGAGTTGAACATCTCTTGATGCGTGGTTTGGCCATTTGGAAAAGGTATCTATTCCAATCTTTTTTTACCTGGTTTTGAATTGGATATTTTTTTATTGTTAAGGTTTAAGAATTATTCCCATATTCTGAATATCAATTGTATGTCAGAGATGTGTTTACAAATATTTTCCCTTACATATGGTTGCCTTTTCATCATGTTAATGATGGCCTTTGGTAGATAAGAGCTTTTAATTTTGAAATTCACTTTTCCTGTTTTGTACTTCTTTATCATATCTGGTAAGTCAGGGCAAGACTGTCATGTGGCTTCCTTCCTCAAGTTGTGTAATTTTTGGTCTTAGATATAAGGTAGGATGTGAGGACCAGCTTTGTCCCTTTGCATATGAATATGTTTCTTCACAGTACCATCAACTGAAAAGATTTGCTCTTTACTCTTTAGCTTATCTACTGAAAATAACTGGCCTTGTTCAAAAAAAAAAGAAAGAAAGAAAAAACAGTCATGGGTTTGAAGGTTTACTTTAGTGCTGTTTGTACAGTTCTGATTAATGTAGCTTTTTATAAGTTTGAGTCAGAAAGTGTGAGCCCTACAGTTTTGTTCGTTTACAAAATTGTCCTGCCTGCTCAGGGAGCTTGCATTTCTTTATGAATTATTAATCTATTTCTTCTGCACACATTGGGGGACTTTTGGTCAAAGATTCCACTGGATTCACAGACAACTTTGGGTAGAATGACATTTTTGCAATACTATGTCTCCCTGGCTATGAATATGGGATGCTGTTCCATTTACTGTGTTTCAGCACTGTTTGGGTTTTTTCATTTTCTCCTCCCCTATTCACTTCATTCGGAAACACTTTATTCTTTTTTTATAATCCCTGATGATTTATAATTTGGTTTGGCTCTCAGTCTAGTATCTCAAAACTGTAATCATATTTTGCTAATAGAACTGAAAATTCCATGGGCTGGAGAGATGACTCAGCAGTTAGGAGTGACTGTCGCTCTTCCAGAGGACATAGGTTCAACTGTCAGCAACCCTTGATGAGACTACACTTTTCTTTGGGTGTAAGGCAAATGTTTATAGACTGTTGCTAGATTGGATTTTTTGTTTGTTTTGAGGCAGGATCTCCCTAGGTAGCTCCCAAAGGTAGCTTGCATACCTTTGTAACTACAGCTCCAGATCCAATGTTCATTTCTGGCCTCTGCAAGTATCTGATCTCTGGCACACAGAGTGTCTTAATGTGTGTGTTTGCTTGTTATGAGCCAAAACCTCCATGACTGAAGAAGCATGTACAACATAGGCAAATTAAAATGTGTCATAGATAGACAAATGGGAAAAGGCCTTACACACTGCCATTTGTACTAAGACAAGATATAAAATGTTACACAGTTCACAGGGTCACTCATAGCAATTCAGGCCTTCTGAATTCTATTCTGGAGAACAGTGGCCTCTGGTAAGACTTCCAAGCATGGTTGTAAATCACTTGATTCAAGGTGATTCTCCTCTTTAGGGCTGACCCCAGACACTAAATTCAGAAATAGAGGGAAGGGCTCCATTCTGGACCTAGGTCTATAAAATTTATTTGATACAACCTTTTTTCTAGAAATGTGAATATTTTTATTGACCATTTTTAAAGGGTTTGGGCTGGTGAATGGCTCATCAGGTGAAAGCATTTACTGTCTAGGCCTGATGGCCTGAATTTGATACCCGGAGCTCACAGTGGAAGGAAAAACCCAGCTTCATAATGTTTTTCTCTGACCACCACAGGTACCCTATGGCACATGTATACCTTCACAAACACACACACACACACAAACACACAATCACAAATAATGAAAATAATTATAAATATTTTTATTATTAATATTATTTTATATTATATTATAGCATACATACATACTTAAAATTAAGTATACTATATATTATATTAATATAATGCTATTAATATATTATTCTAGTAACATTAGCATAATAACACTGTTGTTATTATTATTATTATATAAAAGTTGGGTATCCCATCTGTAACCCCAGAGCTGGGGAGGGACAGAGACAGCTGGATCTCTGGGGTTCATTGGCCATCCACCTTAGCCATAACAATGAGCTCCGAGTTCAACAGGAGACTTCACGTCAAACTCCAAGGTGGAGAACGATGGAGGGAGACACCTGGGTCCATCATTGACCTTAAGCCTCAACAGGTGAGTGCTCACTCATGTGCTCCCTCACTCTCAGATCCTCTGGAGCTAGAGCTGCTGTATGAGCCACCTGACTGGGTTGGGGAACTGAACTGTGGTCCTCCAGAAATGTGGTTTAATAAAGCTATAACTTTTTCTATAGGTGAATTTCAGCACCATCACACACTCTCTAAATTTTAAAGCTATTTTTAACACTTAGAATATGACAAGTGTCAATGTGATGTCCTCACTCAGGCATAGCATGTACATGCTAATACCCTCTCCTGCCATTACCCTGTCTTGTTCTCTCTCTTATTAGTCCTGCTCCACCCAAAATTAGTTCCTTCTAGTTTTATGTCTTGTATGTACATATTTTAATGTCTCCATTCTACATGAGAGAAAATTTACATAGGGATCTTTTTTTTTAAGTCTGGCATATAT